CCATCGTCATTGTCGCCTCGATGCCGGCGGTAACCCAGGCTCCCCCCACCACCACAACAGCTCCTGCTACAACCACCATCATGATGAAAAAGCCAATCAAAGTCACCAAAAAGCAAAATAAAATGGCCAAAAAAGGAAAGCCTCATCCTGTCAGCAGCAGCACCACCACCTGGCTGACTCTGAGCTCCTCCACATCACTTCCTGTGGTAACGGCGGGCAAAGAGGCAGAACATAGAACAACTGACAAACCACAGCCCAACGGAGGAACTACCATTACCACTACTACAACTACTCCTCCTCCACCTACTACACCCACTACTACCCCCTCTACTACTACTGCTCTTCATCCCACTACTACACCTACCACCACCACTACTATACCTACCACCACCACTACTATACCTACCACCACCACTACTATACCTACCACCACCACTACTATACCTACCACCACCACTACTATACCTACCACCACCACTACTATACCTACCACCACCACTACTATACCTACCACCACCACTACTATACCTACCACCACCACTACTATACCTACCACCACCACTACTATACCTACCACCACCACTACTACTACACCTACCACCACCACTACTACTCCTCTTCCTACTAGTACAGTTGCTACCACCACCGAGTTGTCCACCATGAGGACAGCTCCAGACGCGAGTCTGGTCATCGTCCCCAAGGGCGCTGTCCAGTCTGACCAGGCGGACCGAACAGGAGCGGCACAGGGCGCGGTGAAGAGTGGCGTGGTGGCGTTCACGGTGTTGGGGCTTGCTGTGCTCACATTGGCCCTAGCCATCGGTGGCCGTAAGGCAATGGAGTCCTTCGACAGACGGCATTACACAAGACTGGAGCTCAATGACCTGCACTATGAGGTGTGAGCCAGAAAAACGCCTCTCAGGTGTTTGACTCGCAAAACAGAAGCTCAGAATTAGCATGACTTTAAAGGAGTTCATTTGAGATAGTTACCATTCACCTGAGTACATTTTAATTTCCAAACAGCAATAGGCTACACGTTAACAGAATGTCCACTTCAATTTGTTAAAAAGGCGAAGTATTATCACAGAGAATACTGGATTCTGATTGGTCAAAGGGTGTGCATTAATTGGAAATGACAACACAACTCTGACCTAGTGTCCCCAGTTTCTTTATGCTTAAAGTGATTGTTTTATTGACCTGAAATACAAGTGAACAACAGGCTGGTCTTTGGTGAGTGGCCATGGTATAAAAATGATAGTGCACACAGTCCTGTGCTATTAAAACTAATGCACTAGCCTCTGATGTTGCATTATTTTTTCATAGGAGGGGGCAATGTGCATGTAATTGTCACAGTAGATTCCTCTTTAAAAGTGGAATAATTTGTTGTAGTAATGAGGAAGAAATGTCATAACACATCTTTGTATAGTAAAAGCTCCTGTAAGCATCTGACTTTATTCTCAGAATGTTCTCATGATTCTGGCTTTTTGGTTGTAATCATCTGCGTTTTGTTCCTGGCACCGATGTATTTTGCCTCGGCGTGAAGTGTGGGTCCTCTCAGCCTCCTGCAGACTGAAGAGAAGCTTCTTTTGGCCACGGACACACAGAAGAAACAGCAATATTTTTATTCCCCGAAACTCAGGGAGCCTCTGAAGTGGAGCTGAATTAGAGAGTCACTGGACCATATGAGCGGACACAGCCATTTCACCACGGGGTTCGTGTACCCTTTGTGTATATGATGTACACCTGCATGTCTTTTTACTTCCAAATGCTTCAGCCAAACGAACCTGTGATTGCCACTTAAACCACCAACTCGCTCTCTCACTGTGTTGTTTTGTATCCCGTCCACATTTTTCTTGTTTCACAGGTGGATAGGAATCGAAACCATGGATGCAATTCTTTGAAAATCGATGCACTGCCTTACCCTGTGTTTTTCAATAATATGACCTGCCTATTTTTAAACGTTTGTCTGGTTTTTACAGGTAGGACGACACTGGCCAGGCACTATTTTCCTATGATAAGTGAGTTTGTAATGGAGCCGAAGCTGTTGCTGCGTCCGTCCACCAGCAGGTGGCAGCAGCAGCTTGATGAGCCTCCTGAAGCTGCGCTCTTGTTTTCACTTCTAATGCTTTGGTTTCTACTCTAATTAATTATATTGCTGGTAAGAGTTTGGTCTTGTTTTGTGAAGTAATGCTTTTCCATACATTTGATGTTATGTTCTTGTAAGGATTAAAAAATGTGATTTTTGAACATGGTCGTTTTCTTGAGAAAGTCATTACAAACCCCAAAATGAATGTCAAGACATCATTCCCGAGTTTTGGAACTCGTAATTCTTCAGAACACCTAACCTTAATGTAAATCACTCAGAGAATCATTAACCATTTCCTGAAATGCTCAGGGTAATCTTTAAAGTCTGACCTTTTCACAAAGTTTAGACTTTTTCATCATGTTGCATGTTTCTTTGTCTAGTGCTTTGGTTTATGATCAGATTTTCTAATGTTATCATTTTGGTCCAATTAAAAAAAAAGGTTTTCATAGGTATGACTAGGTAACAAGTTTTGTAGGCTAAACGTGAACATAAATTGACTGGGACACTGACTTTAATGTTAAAGTCAGTGTAATCCAAACTGCTACTGGCAACAGGGAATCAGGAGTCAGATGGAAGTGGATGGTACGCTGTAAAAGGTGATAACATTTTGCTGAGTTGATGGTGGCTCACTCTGATTTCTGTCCTGCCGGACAGTGCTCTTACTGCCTTTCATCCATAGAGAGACAGTTTTCTCTCTTGCTTGATTTTGCTTTCCTTAATCATTTGATTTGATTTCCCTCTTTATGTCAAATCATTAGTGTTGTAGAAATTTAACATGATTTGTTCCTCTAAGTAGTTTTTAACAGGTTACTTGAAGGTTTTGTACCACCAAACCGTACAACCCTCGTCCATGGGCTGAAATGTCCCACTAAACCTGAACGCACCTGCGTTTACGTGCTTTACTTCATTACTATTGTGCAGGACTTTTACTTGTAACGGAGTACTATACACGGGCCCATTAGTCCCACGTTTACTTCAACAGCCCAGCACGTTCAGTGCAGCACTTTTACTTGTACCAGAATATAATAGCAGAGGTGTGTTAGCACATTTATTTCAGCGAGGTGTGCGAATACTTCCTCCAGCACTACAACATGCTCACCGGGCGGACTGGACGCGCTGCTGTGATAAAATAGTCCCGCAAGAATGCGAGGATGAATTTCGGCTCCGTGACATTTTCCTTTCCAGGACCCGGGCTGTATTTTCTTAGTTTAGCAGCAGTTAACCGTGCGGGCAGCGGGGCGTTTTCTATATGGTAACTTTATCTTTGGCTGGAGAGCATGAAATCAGAACAACAATAGAAAGCGGTGGGGGTGGAAGCGGGGGGAGTAGCTTCCTCACAGTGGAAGGAGACGACGGTTTTCCTGCAGGACAGTGTGAGAGTTGGTCCGACGCCGTTAGCGAGCAACCAGTAAGCCAGGATGGAAGTCGGGATCGTTTAACGCACATTCTTTCTGAATTATAACCGGAGTTTGAGGTTTAAACTCGCTATTTTTGTCCGAGGGGGCGGCCGCAGCGATGGGAAGCCGGCGCTGAGGAGAAAGCGGCGGCAGGGCCACGAAACGGGAGAAAGATGGGTGTCTTGCTGCGGTGCCTGTTGTTGTGTAGTTTTTGTCTCCTCGTACGAGGTGAGTTTCTGTTCAGATCAGCCTTTTATCTTCGTGTTCCCTCTGTATCTGCTCTGTGGCTGTATAAAAGTGTTGTAAACAGTCGGGAAAAGCAGCTTTAGCGGGGGATATTTGGAGCTGTGTCTAGACCAGGGCCCGCAATCCTGGGATTGCAGATAGCATTAGCCAGCCAGCTATGCGTGCTTATCCGCCTGTTTGCTGTTGGATCACGGGAGAGTAAAACCACAAACAGCCCGTGTTAGCTGGAAAAATACCCCCTAGAGTCCTCACAGCCAAGATATCTTTCATTGAGTCTGTGTTTTCAGAGTGGATGTGTTATTTTAAGCAGCTCCGCAGCGTTTGTTCCTCTGCTAACTCTGGATTTTGTCACCCAAACAGATTGGGTCAGATGAAACCTTAGACCCAGGGAGAGCAGCAGTTAGCACAACAAATGCTATGTAATCCAGTCATTTGGCTAGTTAGCCGCCTGCTAACGGTGTCTGACCACAGAAAGCTCCTACAACACCAGATATTTATCTCGGTGCTCATTCCTAGTGTTTACATTACATTTGCTTGTAGATATGTCCTGGTAGAATGGCTTGTTGTGTTTTGCTAAGCTGCAGTTGCCCGAGGTTGAAGGTTTCAGATACTGTACCTGAGATGATTTAGACAAGTTTATTTGACAAAAATAGGCTAAAGGTAAATTCGGGAGTGCAAGACCTAACATGCAGTTAAGTTTAGGGTAAAACACAATAACACTAGAAACCTATTTCACTGTAGTCCGTGTTCAGATGACAGAGCTCAAAATCAAGTGGAATATGTCCAAACATATCAAACCATACATAAACACACTTCTCCCATATTTTCCTGTAATCTAAGGAGAGAACTGATGTAGCAGGAAATCCTCAGGAGCTAATGTGATATCAACTTGACTTACAGTTCTGCTGCCATGCTTCTATTTCATTCCTTTATTTCTGCAGCTACTAGTTGTTTTTATTGTGGATTAATCTTTCCAAGGCCAAGATGATCCCATGTGTCAGAAACCTAAAAATATTCAGTTTATAAACACACAAAACAAAGAACCAGAAAACCCTTCGTGTCAGAGTGAAAACAGCATTTTTTTTGACATTCGTGCTTGAAAAAAATGTCGTAAATGATTAATTGATTCTCAAAATAGTTGCTCACGCTGAATTGTGTGATTAATTGTCAAATTGTATGATTAATAGTCGAATTGTGGCAGCTCAAAATGCAGGACTGAGCACACAGAGCTGACTTACCAATCAAATCTGGGTTAAAGCCAGAAACTTGTTTCTGTTTTGTCTTTGGCAAGATATGGTCAAAACATACAAATATAAACAAATTATTAAATAAGATGTGGCTGCAGCTAACATTTATCTTCATTATTGATTCACCTGCTGATTATTTTCTAGATTAATCAGTTTTGTCTGTAATATTTAAGACCGTAACAACAAATGTTTATTTCCAATGTGTTTATGGTTCAGAGCTTAAATGAATCACCTGATCAACAATTTCAGCAGAAGCTTGATGGCAGTGAGCACATTAAATACACTGACAACAAAGAAACAAACCCATTGTCTGTGGCAGCAGCAGAGCTGAACGAAGCCTGACCAGTAATTTTACTCCTCCCAAGCAAAACCAATGGACAACCAACCAGCCTGTTGACCTACTTCCTACTTGCGAACAATCTGCCCATGTATGAGCCAAGAGTTTCCCACAAGGGGTTGCAGTTGCAGGCAGATGTGTTCCTGCTCTGTTTAGCTAGCGAGCTATGGCAGAGAAGGTACCCCAGCAGCTTTGGTTCACTGTTGTTACAGGCCAGGCCTTCCCGTTTAAGACATATAAGACCATTGTCCACTGCCTGGTACCAGATCCACTCGATTTTTTTTGTGTGTTTCACTGTATCAGTCAGGTGTTGGGGGTAGTGCCCGTTACCAAAACTATGACCAGGTATCACCTCCATCGAGGTTCCAAGTGAGCAGAGGTGATACCAAACGGTGACATGTAAACACTGCAGACTAGCGGCTGGTCAGAGAAATCGCATCAGTATGCGAGACATCCTGCAACAAAGAAAGCTCAGTTTTTAATGTAACGTCATTTAGCACTAACCGCTGCTTTACTGTCGTTACTATACTAACTAAAAGCGGCCACATAAGGAGAATCAAGAGCAGCGTGCCACAGATGTGGGCGGGTAACACTATATTTGAGAAAGTTACAACTAAAAAGAAGTTGGATGCTGCAAGAAGTAAAACTAGAATTAACATCAACATTGCTTTTGAACAACGGCACACCTGAGAGAACAAAGGTGGCCGAACAGTGATGCCGTGGTGGCCGTGTTTCTGCTGGACAGGTAATTATTGGTTTTGTTTGGGGGGCATTAATTTTTTTCCTGACATCTGTAAGTAGTAGTCAGGCAGTGCACGTTGTGTTTTGGAGGAGAGGCTTTGAAGAGAAGTCAGAACGAAAGGGTGAGATTTCTTTCTTCTTCCAAAATCGAGTTTCCCCTTGCTGATTTTTTTCGGGATCAACAGCCTTATCTTGAATCTGCAACTATTCCGATTATTGCTTGATCATTTCAAGGAATGTTGTCTAGTTAAAGTTTCTCCAGTGTGTCTGATTTTCTGTTCTGGTGATCTTCACATGTAACACTACAGCATATCTCACTGGAGGAAGCCGTGTTTTCACGAGAAGAAGAGTCAGGGTGCAGCTGAGGATGGTGCTGTTGTTGTTGCTGTTGAAGCATTAGGTCAGTGTGGGGTGTGCCCCACTAGTGGGGAATAAAGACATGACAGGTGGGGCGCAATGAATGGAGAAAATTAGAAATTGGTCATTAATACAAGTAAATTAAAATAACATCAGTTCAGGGCCCGGGGGAAAAAAGTGGAACCATAGTGCAACAATAACGGTTTACCGTCGGCATGTTAACTGGAAACATTCACACAGAGGGCCAATAATGTATGTATTGGACATAATAACATAAATGGATGTTTGTTACATGGACCACGAAAAAAGCAAGCAATTCAGCGCAAGCAGAGAAAGAAACAACAGGCAGTAGCCTTATCAACCAAAAAACCATCTGAAAAGGAAATATGATGAAGGATTCATGGTGGGAATGGTGGGGGCAGAGGAGGGACCCATGTGTGTCTTGTGTCTTAAACCGCTGGCAGCAGACAGCATGAGACCCATCAAATTAAAACATTTAGAGACAACACACCCCTGTAACGTTAATAAGCCACTCGACGTCTTTGAAAGAAAGCTGGCAGAAAACCGGCAGCAGGAAAACTGCACGATAAAATCTGCATCAGTGAACAGCAAAGCACAAATGGCTTCCTTCAAAGTTGCATACAGAATTGTCCAGTGCAAAAAATCGCACACAATTGCTGAGCAGCTCATTCTCCCTGCTGCTGTAGACATGGTGTCGATTATGCTGGATAAGAAAAGTGCAGCAAAATTGAAAACTATCCCTCTGTCAAACGATACAATTGCACTTATATTTTATCAGTTTTGAACTTGGTGTTATTTG